TATATGTCCCCATGACGGAGCCTGATTTTTGATTAATTCATTTCCTGAATTTAGAAAAATTTGACAAAACGTTCCCGTTCTTCTTTGGCCTTTGTGATCATTCCACTGATAAACAAAACAAATCTGCGTAGCTGTCCCTCACAGCGTAGGTGCCGGAAGTGGTATTTCGTCAGACACATTTTTTAAATGAGTAGGCCTATAGATAATAGATCTAGACCTTCTAATTTTTTTGCAGCTCTCAAGATTTCTTGCTCCATTCCAGTAGAGAGTAAATACAGTAGGCCTGGAGGCCAATGACTTTCAGTTGATGTTAATGCACCGATCATTCCTTTCATCGAAAGGGGGCCCAGCTAGTTTAATTGTAATTTATATTATACTATGTATGTATACGTATAGATCTATCTCTATCTATCTATACATATTATATTTGTAAAAGTTCGTCACGTTGGCCGCCTAAAACTTCGGAACCACTTAACTTTCGAATTTGACAAAAATTAGTGGTGGTTCAGAATCATTTAAAGGGTGCACAGTTCTATTGGGGAGCATGAAGTCACTGTAGTTTAATTGTCAGTTTTTCATTAGTTTCGTTTAGATCTAATCTTGGGAAAGTTCGTCTTCTAAGACGACATTGTAAACAAGTGAGGTTTCCGTTCAATAGCCGAGCGCACTGATTAATTCACACCTTTGGAATTCTGGCCTGGAGTGCACAACCACGAAAGCGGAATAAGTCTGTACATCAGCTATTAGAATATACATTTGGCAAATTGGAAACGCATGTGTCACTTTTCCCACAAAACTACGACAGTTACAGAGTTAAAAGTGGCAAGTTCCTGCAAAAAAAAATAGATAGGTCCCCTTGACGGAGCACGAATTTTTTATTTATTCGTTTTCTGAATTTAGAAAAATATATTTGACAAAAGTTCCTGCCCTTCTTTGGCCTTTGTGACTATTCCACTGAGAAACGAAACAAATCTGCGTAGCTGTCCTCCATAGCGAGGTGCCGGAAGTGATATTTCCCGAGGCGCATTTTGTTTTGAGAGTATAGATCTAGACCTTCTAATTTTTTGCATCTCTCAAGATTTATTGCTCCATTCCAGTAGAGTGTATTATGAAGTAGGCCAATGGCTTTCAGTTGATGTCATCGAAAGGGGCCCCAGCTAGTTATACATAATAATATAAGTGTGTGTGTGTGTGTGTGTGTGTGTGTGTGTGTGTGTGTGTTGTGTGTGCGTGTGTGTGTGTGTG